GTTCCCAGGATGCTTCAACTGTCCTAAGTACACGCCTGTTGACAAGTGCCTGAATTTGGATCTCATCATCATGGGGATGCTATGACGGTCGTAAGGGCAGGAACCTAGTCACTTGTTTCAGGGCTATGCCAACAGCTAGCTAGGGACACTGATGTGTGGATCCTCTGGTTATTTTCCATTCTTTTTTCTTTTCTTTTCCACTCCTCAGATCACCAGAGCGGGGAAGACGTTTATTGCAGCTCTTTAGTGAAGATATTGTGCCAAACCCCAACCCCAGTCACTGTGGGCTTCTGTTCACCATACAAAATACGCCTTCGCTTTCTACTGGACAAGATTCAACGTCAGTCCCACCCTGAGAGAATCAATGGGGAAGAATTTCAGTAGACCCGTCCTCAGTAGAAGGGGTCTTCCCAGTGGTGGGATTCAGCCAGTTCGCACCGGTTCAGCAGAACCGGTAGCTAAATTTTGTTGAGTTTGGAGAACCAGTTGAATACACACTGCTTCCGAAAGTCCAGTCTAGGCCTCAGAGACCTGGAGGAGGCCTCCCAGGCCTAGAACGGCACGTCAGAAGTGCATGGATGCCACTTCCGGAAGTCTGTTCTAGGCCTCGGAGGCCTGGAAGAGGCCTCCCAGGCCTAGAATGGCCAGCTGACAGTGCATGGATGCCACTTCCGGAAGTCCGTTCTAGGCCTTGGAGGCTCAGGCCTGCATCCAATAAGATAACTAGTTGTTCGGGTATTTGAATCCCACCACTGGTACTTCCTCTATCCATGGGTCTCTGGGGAGAGAGGAAGTGACCTTATAGGAGTCAGCACGCCATCACAAAACTGGTATCATTGGCGTCAGAAAATAACATCATCAGTGCTAGAAGGAGTTGGGGTTTATAGAGGGGAGGAGGAGGGGTAAAAGAGGAGGAGGAGGAGGAGGACTGTTGGGTCCTTGGTGCTCTCTGAGCTTGGTATTTTCTTGCAGATGTTTTATTACCCAGATAACATCATCTGATGATGTAACTTAATTGACTTACAAAACTTTTGCAAGAAAACCACCAAGCTCAGAGTGCACCATGGAGCCCACATTTCAATCCTGAGCTACAAAGATTCTCTTCTATAGATAGGAGGTCTTTGAGAACTTGGCAGGTCTTCTGTTGACCCCTTCTGAACTGATTTTTGCAGAAAGTATAAAAGAATCCATCCAAAAGGAAGAAAAAGAATTCAGCAGGACTCGTGAGAGGTCCCAAGTCCCCAAAGGAATAAACTACCTGATCCTCCTCTGGTACATCATCTTCTACCAACCAGTCATCACCGAGAAGCACCACAAAAGAAAAAACTTCAACTTCGTCTTCATACAGTTCAGCGCCTGGGAGTATGCATGCAGCAACCAGTTGTGGGCTGGGTTGATCACCACCCTGTGTGACCATATCCGCAAGCACTTCGGTCCCCTTCCCCTGAGTTTCTACCAAGTGGTAGGAAGCAATCCAGAATTAGACTTACAAGCCAACCAAGAGTGGAGGCTTAAAAAGAAAACGTGCTGCATGGCAGTAGAACTCCTGCTGATTGTCTTCCTAACTGTTGCAGGCCTGGCTACTGTCTTCTTCCTTGTGCCAGATATAAGGAATGGCACATTCTTGAAGTACCTTGGTAGCAGCATTGCTGCCATTTTGGGCTCAGGGTTCATCATAGCCATCGCTCCTGTCATCAAGAACTTGATCATCACCCAGAAGAAGAAGATCGAGAGCATGACCAGCGATGAGAAGTTCACCAAAAATTTAGGTTTCAGGAGTGCAATGAAGAGAGAGATTGAGGTCCTCACCAACTTTATACGCTACATGGAGATCTTTGACCGTCAGCACTTGAAGATTGTTATTGAGATCACATCTTTAGATATATGCTACCCTGATCAGGTGGTCGGGGTGTTGAATGCCATCCACACGCTCCTTTCCGATAAGGATTCTCCCTTCATCTTCATCCTGGTGGTTGATCCCTGCATCATCGTTTCTTGCTTGGAGCAGGCTAGCAGCATGAAGGGAATGGCGGACAACGGCTATCTGTACCTCAACCGCATGGTGACCCTTCCGTTCTCCATACCAGAAATCGCCATCTTCTCCAAAATGCAGAGTTTGCAGCACACCTTGGAGAGTCTGGAAGTTCTGATCACTACAAAGAACCTGGAAGTGAGCAAAGATTTAGAGAGTCAAAAGCAGATCGATGCACTGGCATCCAAGTACATCCGTGAAGCTTTCCAATACTTGCAAGATGAAAAGGATTGTCTCTACCATTATGTCCCAAATAACATTACCCAGATGCGGAGGATTGGCAACACCATCATTCTTATGATCAGGTTGATGGCTCAACAGCACCTGCTGAGGAATAACCACTGTGCCCGGAATGTGGTCGGTTGGGTACTGTTGGCCAATGAGTGGCCGTGTTGCTTGAGTTGGATCCTCCAGTGCATGGAAGACAAGCAGCAGTGTCAACCGCCCAATGGTTATGAGAAGACGTTGATGTGGGACGTCTTCAAGGACACTCGTTCTGAGCTGTTCTCCAAGCAAAAAGAACTCAAGAATATCATGGCCTTGGATGACGACCCTGAACTTTTTGAAAGATTCTTGTCCGTTGATTTTCGCTTCACCGTACAAGAAGGCAATAAATTCCTGAAGTATACTGTCAACTTAGACTGTTCCATAAAACGTAAGATGGGACAGCTGCGGGCTCTGGGTATTCTGGAGAAGAACTACAGCAAAGGTGGAGCAAATTCAGAGAAGAGGGCTTAGGGATCATGGATTCCATGTGCACTTCCTGGAAATCCTGGGGTGAAAGAAATTTAGCAGGGTTTCATTCGCTGGGAAGATGGGAGCAAGAAAGACAGAAAGCTGTACAGATCAGGGGTGGCAACTATGGCTCCTGAACCACCTCTGGACTTCAACTCCCAGAATTCCTGAGACACCTGGCTCAAGAATTCTGGGAGTTGAAGTCCATAGATTGTAAATGTCTATGGGGATTCATGGTTGTCCCTAAGGTGCTTTTCCAAAAGGCAGCTGGCCTTTCTTTTATATATATACGAAATTTATATATATATCTACGAAAGCAGACACACACACACACACACACACACACATATATATATAATTAGTTTTTATAGGATTAGGAATAGGGTAGGGTCGAGGTTGGGATTGGGGTTAGGGTTAGGATTTTTTAAAGTAACATTCTTAATATTTAGCAAAGCATGTTGTCTGGGTACATGTATTTAAAAAGAAAAAAAACAATGAGGTAACTAATTATCATGAATAATGTTAATTAATCGCTCGATAGTTTTCTTCTTACTAGTATATATTAAATGTTACATATCACATTCCTTTCTCTCTAACTTGTTTTTCTAGCCATTGATAAAAGTTATCCCATGTTTTAAAATACACTGAGTCTTCTTTCTCTTTTATCTTTAAAGTCAATCTATCCATTTCTGCACACTCTAAAAGTTTCTTAATTAATTCTTCTTCAGTTGGTAAATTTTTATTTTTCCAATGTTGGGCAAATATAATTCTTGCTGCAGTTAGTACATGTAAAATTAAATATATACAGTCTTTATCATAATTTGCTCCTATTATTCCTAATAAAAATAATTCTGGCTTAAAGTCTGTTTTTTAGTCATTTTCTCCAACCATAAATGTATCTTGGACCAACATCTTTTAGCTTTAGGGCATGTCCACCAGATATGGTAATAAGTACCTGGTTTTTGTTTGCATTCCCAACACTTGTGTGAAGTATTTTTAAACATTTTTGCTAATCTCACTGGTGTTAAATGTCATCTGTAAAACATTTTATATACGGTAAGTTTTCTTTATATATGCCACTGCTTTCGTTAATTTGGCATTTCTTTCTTTTGCCGGTTTTCTAATTCTATATTATGTCCAAAATTCTTCTGCCAACTATGGCTCCTGTACTACCTGTGATCCCCTTTTGCGACATTCTTTGTCAAAGCAGAAGACAGATTCAGGAGCTGAAGTCCACGTGTCTTAAAGGGACCTTGGTTAAAAAAACACAGTTTTGCAGCCTCCAACATCGGCCTTACTTTCAGACCCCTGAAATATGGTGGGTCTTTTTTTCTGCATAAACATTCTTAGATTGATCACTTTTAGTCAGGTATTCACATCTGGATAAGGTACCTGCTTGTGGCCTGACCATTAGTAATCCTTCTAATAAACCATCTGGTTTATTAGAAGGTTATTTGCGGGAGATGATGATGATGATAATAATAAAAATTAATAATAATAATAATAATAATAATAATAATAGTAATGAGAAATAACTTAGAAATAATTAGCTGTTATTGGCACAGCGCCTCTGACCTTAATAAGAGTTTCAATAAATAATAGTTCTTATTTAACAAATAAGCAACCTTTCAGCATAGTTCAGATCTGTCATTAGCAGTCGTAAGTTGTGATTGGGATGAAAATAAATACATAAATTCTTTCGTACAGATTTTATTCTGGTAATAATGACATCTCAGAGATGACTGAATTTTAATTCCTGTCATCTCTGGACCACCGTAGCCTTAATCTTTATTTTAAGTACTTATCTTAGAAACTGATCAGGCTATTTCCCAGATGGGGAGGAATGATTGCATCAAAACAATCAATGCAATTCAGTTACATGTTAGAATACGGTGCTACAGGTAGTCCTTGGCTTATAACTGTCCGGTTAGCGACCGTTTGAACTTACAGCAACCCTGAAAAAGGGACTTGCAATCAGTCCTTACTCTTACAACTGTGGCAGCAGCATCCGTTTCGTAATCAAAATTTGGGTGCTTGCCAACCAGCACCTGTTTATGACCGTTGCAGTGTCCCTGGGGTCAAGCGATCACCCTTTGCAAACTTCCAGCCAGCTTCAGACAAGCCAAGTCGATGGGGGCGATGCCAGATTCAACTAATGACCATTTGATTTCCTGAGGCTCCATAGTGGTTCGCTTAACAACCCTGGTGAAAAGGTCATAAAACTGAGCACACCTAAGTTAACAACCTCGTTTGGCAACAGAAATTCTGATCCCCATTTTGATTGTAATTTAAGGACTCCTGGTGTAAGCAAACTTTTTCTGTCACTGGAAGAGAATGCCACGTAAGAACAGAAAAGGGGGGGGAAGGAAATTTGGTATTTCGTTAGAACATCATCAGAATTAAGCCCACAGCCCATGGCTCAATGTCCAGGCCACACCCCCTGCATCTGATCCTCTTTCTCAATACGGTGGCTGAAATATTTTCTCATCTCAATTAGCAACCTATCAGAAACAAATGAGGTTCTCATTCGTCACACCTTTGGGCTTTTATATTGTTGGTCTTTTTTCTCCAACTTTAAAGAGAACTTGGGGCCAGCCGTGAAGGTCAGTAGAATTTGGAGCTTCAAGAACCAAAATTATACCTCTCCTCAGTCTTTCTTTCTTTCTTTCTTTCTTTCTTTCTTTCTTTTCTTTCTTTCGTTCTTTCATTTTCTCTCTCTCTCTCTCTCTCCACTCAATGGACTCAGTTTTTCTAACCTAAAACCTGGAAAAAGAAAAAGGCAGAGAGAGAAAAACCCTGCTACAATGCATATATTCCAGATGTGGCTTGATATCTATATTCTGTTCATCTATTCTCATTAGAAGCTTACCTGTCCCAGGTAACCAGGTTGAATCACCTGTCTGCTTTATCGCCTTCTGGCAGGCTCCACCTTGCCTGGGAAATCAGGTTGATGGTCCACCAACTCCAGAGCTGATGAGTTACTCTGACGAGGAAGCTGCTCAGGTGCTCCATGCGGAGGAGTACCACGGAGCGGGGAGCCTGTCCTCAAACCAGGATTCCCACTTTAGCCATGATGGACGTCATGAAGGTAAGCTCTGCATCTAATTCACAACCGCTGGATTTGGACAAATGGAAGGCAGCAAGGATTTAATCCCATTTCTTCCAACAATCAAATTTAGTACAGGTAGTCCTTGACTTACAACCATTCGTTTAGCAACCATTCAAAGTTACAAGGGCACTTTAAAAAGCGATTTATGAAGATGTTGAGACTCTGGAAAGAGTTCAGAGAAGAGCAACAATGATGATTAGGGGACTGGAGGCTAAAACCTATGAAGAACGGTTGCTGAAATTGGGTATGTCTAGTTTAATGAAGAGAAGGACCAGGGGTGACATGATAGCAGCGTTCCAATATCTCAGGGGCTGCCATAAAGAAGAGAGAGTCAAGCTATTTTCCAAGGCGCCTGAAGGCAGGACAAGAAGCAACGATTGGAAACTAATCAAGGAGAGAAGCAATCTAGAACTAAGGAGAAACTTCCTGACAGTGAGAACAATTAACTAGTGGAAGGATTTGCCTTCAGAAGTCATAGGTACTCCATCACTGGAGGTTTTTAAAGAAGAGATTGGACAACTATTTGTCTGAAATGGTATGGGGTTTCCTGCCCAAGCAGGGGGTCGAACTAGATGACCTCCAAGATCAATCCTTACCAAGGACCTGGGATAGGCAGATGTGGATATTTGAATTGATGGTATTACAGATCTCATCACAGGATGGAAGCTGTTCCCACTAAGGCTGCCTTTTGCAATTGACTGATGGCAATTTTCTCAATGGTCATGATGGTGTCCAAGTGGTGCTCCAGTTGTTTTGGGATTGCACCCAAGGCGCCTATGACTATTGGTACTACCCTTGCTTGCCTTTGCCACAGTCGTTCTATTGCTATTTGTAGGTCTTTGTATTTTATTTATCTTCTCCAGTTATTGTTATTGGTATTGTTGTTATTCTTATGGTTGTTGTTGTTATTGTTATTGGTCCCTCACACTTATCACTAATACAGCATTTGCACAGTGACCTCATCAGAATTTGGGCTCTTGCAACCAGCATATATTTCCGATGGCTGCAATATTCTGGGGTCACGTGATCACCATTTGCAACCATCCCAGCTGACTTCTGATAGGCAAAGTCAATGGGGAGCAGGGGGGATCTGAATTCACTTAACGACCATGTGATTCACCTAACAACCGACTGGTGTAACAAAAGGGCCAAAAAGGTCATAAAAGCAGATGGGACTCATTTAACAACTGCGTTGCTTAGCAATACTAATTTTGGTCCCAGTTGTGAATGTAAGTCAAGGACTACCTGTACATTAAACCTCAATTTGGCCATCCTAAAAGCGTGCCCACATGCCCAGGTGGCAAATGACCATCCCATGACCTCCGGATGCTGCAACCATCGCAAATACATGCCAGGTACCAAGCACCCGAATTTTGATCACGTGACTTTGGTGATGCTGCAGCGGTTGTAAGTACGAGGACTTTAGTGCCGCTGTAACTTTGAACAGTCACTAAACGAATGATTGTGAGGACTACCTGCCCAATAGCCTCTTCATCAACCCATTGAAAGAGAATTCTTTTCATTTGTTGCAAATGTTAGAACCGTTACGCAAACATTTCTTAGGAATTCTTTTAATCTTAAGGGAAAGTTAGGTAACAATTCTAACGTCTGCAACGGTTCCTGTGTGTGGAGGGTGATTAATGTACATTTTCAAAACAGGATTAACAGAAGTTGTTTGCTTCATTAGCATAATATCTTAAATGCTTTCTTTCCTTTCTTCATTAGGTCTTCTCTTACCAGCTTTGCAAGCAGCCATTTTAGAGAGTCTTAAATTGCTATGTTTTGTTTCCTGCATGATTCTTTTAGAATGCACAAATTGGGAGCAAATAATCAGCTCACATTAGTGTCTAATTGTTAAATAACGCTTGGCAATTTTTTTTCATTGCTTTAGATTACTGCAATATGTAAACCAGGCATGTCCAACACGCAGCCCACAGCCACATGTAGCCCTGGACAGCTACTAATATGGCCCAACATGATAATAAAAATATTAAAAATTAAGTTTGTTATTTATATACATTACCTATATTTGATATTTTGTATATGGCCCAAGATAATTCCTCTTCACTCAGTGCAGCGCAGAGAAGCCCAAAGGTTGGTCAACCATGATCTAAACTCCAGATTATGACCGATTCGATTTCCTCAACAACAATTCCCTGTCATTTTTGGAGTCAATTTCTTTAAAAAAATCACAGGCATTTAATTTTCTTGTGAGAAAAAAAAACCATCTGGGGAGAACATTTTTTTAAAAGCAAAGATAATGGTATGGCTTATATTTGGCTTTTTAAGTCTCCTATTGTGTTTTTATTAAAAAAAAAATTTTCACTGAATTTAAAGTCACTTTGTTATTGCATCCTTCTTAGAGTTCAAGTCATCACAAATTTGGTTCATTAGTTCAGAATCTGATGAAATGAAAATGCTGGCGCAAAACAGGGAACTCATAGGTTCCGCTTAAAGACCACCCAATAGTCCTCAATTTACAACCGTAATGGAGCCTGGCAATTAAGGTCATAAGTGATGATAGTTGTATATGGAAAGGAATTGTGAATGTCATCCTGAATTAACCTTGAGTCCAACTCACTTTTATGAGACACACTTTTAAACTGGGTGAAAAAAATCGGTGCTGAGTCAAGTTGTTAACGATTTAGGGACTTTTCCCTCCCTTTTAATGTCTCCACCACTGATTAGATATATAGATGATTTCCAAATATAAACCAAAACACAAAGTTGTCCTAGTGTCGTCATTATAATCCCTAATTGGGTTTATCAATTCATCAGGGCGAATTTATCCCCACTTGAGATTTAAATTTCAGGCTGCAGGTCGGGTGTGGGTTTTCTGAGACACACCCGCCTCCACACAAACATTCCTTACAAGTGGAAAACTATCTGCTAAGGAAGGGGTATTCCTCATGAATCTACATTTCTGGATGCGAGGAAAGGAAACATGGAAAGGAATAATTTGGGTAGTCCTTATGACAAGGGAACACCATTCAAAAAAAGCACAGCTTGTGTAGATAGTTGAAAAATTGCTCCCATGCAGTGGTGGGATTCAAATATGTGAACAACCGGTTCTCTGCGTGGATGCCGCTTCCGGAAGTCCATTCTGGGCCTGGGCAACAAAAAATTAGCTACCGGGTCTGCCGAACTGGTGCGAACTGGCTGAATCCCACCACTGCTTCCATGTTTAAAAATATAAGTTAAAGGGTAAATCCAGATTTTATTAACTAAGAAGCTAACCAAAAGGTTTTATTGAACTGAGTCACAATGAAATCGATCTATGCACATAGACACCACCGTTTAGTGTCCTTTAAAAAAAACTGGGCAGAGGTTCATTCCTCACAGCCGCCATCTTGACTTTTTTGACCATACCGCTGTCATAATAAAACAGAGCAAGACCGGACACATCCGTGAATGTATTGATTAGTGTTATTTTTTTTGGTTGATATTGTGATAAAATATCTATGTTTGTGTTTTTATATGAAAAATTAATAAAAAATTATAAAAAAAGAAAAAAAACAGAGCAAGACTAGACACATTTCAACCTGAAAACCATGTTTTTTGCAGCCCAGAAACCACCTTCAAGGTCACTGATAAAATTTGATTTTCCATCCAGAAAAATGCACCAAAAATAAACGTGGTATCCGAAAGCCTAAAAGCCTTGGTCTGTTTTAACTTGTGTAAATTTAATCCAGTTTCATAGTTATAATTGTCGAATGTTTGTGTGTTTTTATCTTGTTGTAAGCCGCCCAGAGTAGCCTTCAACCACAAAATGGATGGCAAATAAATTTGATAAATCAATCGTAGGATGGTTAACGCTCGGCTCCCTCCAGAAAGGAGAAAAGCACCTGAGGGGGGAAAAAAACACTGAAGAAATCTTAGCTCTGCTCAGACGCATTTACAATAGGATGAGTTACACAAGCTAATTATCCTAATTATTCTCAAATGTCTATTTTTTCTGGCAGATCTTTGGGGAACAAAAAGCCTGTCAGGGATGGTTTTTTTCCTTGTGATCCTTTACGCTAGTAGCATTTTTTTCAACCTCAGCAACTTTAAGATGTGTGGACTTCAGCTCCCAGAATTCCCCAGCCAGCCATGCTGGGAGTGGAAGTCCACCCACCTTAAAGAATGCTGGCTGTGGAATTCTGGGAGTTGAAGTCCACGCTTCATAAATTCGCTGAGGTGAAGAAACACTACTTTAGGCAAGAAGGGATTCCAGGTGGGCCTCAACATACGACGACAATTGAGACCGATTGCTAAGCAAGGCAGTTAAGTGAGTTGCGCTTGATTTTACAAGTGTTTCTGCGGTAGTTTTTAAGCGATTGCAGTTGCAGTTATTAAGTGAATCGTGCGGTCGTTAAGTGAATCCGGCTTCGCCCATTGACTGTGTTTGTCAGAAGCTGGCTGGGAAGGTCACGAATGGCGATCACATGACTCTGGGATGCTGCGACCTTCATAAATACACGCCCGTTGACAAGTGCCTAAATTATAATCACACGATCATGAGGATGCTATGACGGAGATAAGTGTAAGAACCGGTCATAAGTCGCTTTTTTCAGGGTTATAGTAACTAAGTGAGGGTAAGACGTGGACCCCGTGGTTATTCTCCATTCCTTTTTTTTTTTCCTTTTCCACTCCTCAGATCATCTGAGCGAGGATGAGATTTATTGCTCCTGTTTATTGAAGACATTGTGCTATACCCCCACCCCAGTCACTGTGGGCTTCTATTCATCACACAAAGCACGTGTTCACACCCTACTGGACAAAATTGCAGGTCAGTCCCACCCTGAGAAAATCAATGGGAAAGAATCTCAGTAGACCCATCCTCAATAGAAGACTCCTTCCTCTATCCATGGTCTCTGGGGAGAGAGGAATTGACCTAACAGGAGTCAGCATGCCATCACAAAACTGGTATAATTGGCGTCAGAAAGTTACATCATCAGTGCTAGAAGGGATTGGGGTTTATAGAGGGGAGGAGGGGAAGGGGGAAAAGAGAAGGAGGAGGAGGAGGAGGAGGAGGAGGAGGAGGAAGACAACCCGACTCTTTGAGCTTGGTGGCTTTCTTGCAGATGTTTTACTACCCAGATAACAGCATCTGATGATGTTACTTAATTGGGTTATGAAACATTTGCAAGAAAACCACCAAGCTAAGAGAGCACCATGGAGCCTACATTTCAATCCTCAGCTACAAAGATTCTCTTCTATAGATAGGAGGTCTTTGAGAACCTGGCAGATCTTCTGTTGACCTCTTCTGAACTGATTTTTGCAGGATGCATGCTCGAAGAATTCATCCGAAGGGAAAAAGAAGAATACAGGAGGACTCACCAGAGATCCCGAGTCCCCGAAGGAATAAACTACCTGACTCTCCTGTGGTACATCGTCTTCTACCAACCGGTCATCACCGAGGTACACCTCCGAAGAAAAACCATTGAGTTTCTCATCATAAATTTCAGCGCCTGGGAATATGCAGGCAGCAATCAGTTGTGGGCTGGGTTGGTCACCAGCTTGTGTGACCATATTCGCAACCACTTCGGTCCTCTTCCCCTGAGTTTGTACCACGTGGTAGGAAGCAGTCCACAATCCGACTCAGCAGACACCCAAGAGTGGAGACTTAAAAGGAAACCATGCTGCATTGCAGGAGGACTTGTGGTAACTATTTTGCTAGTCAGTGCAAGCCTGGTTACTACCGCCCTCCTTGTGCCAGGAATAAGGGATGGCACATTGTTGAAGTACCTTGGCAGCAGCATGGCTGCCATTTTGGGCTCAGGGTTCATCA